GGGATTTATTTACCGATCATTATAAACATTTGGTTTTAACCCTAAGGCTTTGTCATGTAAGTCTGAAAATGATGAAAGATACACACTGGACAAAAGAAGTGTCACCCCTACTAAGCCAATTATGGGGGAGATAAATGACTGTGGAATGATATGCTCTGGTATCATTTTATTAACATCAAATTTCACAAAAAATCACAAAATGAGAAAAAAATAAACTTTCTACCAAAATATGTAGTTTCAAGTCCAAAATTAGTACTTAGTGGCATAGCCACGTGACCTAATAATAGGTGCCAGTCTACGAAGCAAGGATTCATCTAATTGTCTGATGCGTTCAGGGCTTATGCTGGCCCAAGCATGAAACACTGAATATAACAGAGTTGCCATGCTGGTTAGACGGGCATTTGTAAAAAGTTTTGACATATCATTCCACACATTTTCTATTATGTTTGTATCCGGACTCTGGGTAGGCCACATCACCCTGCGAATGTCCTGTTGGTCAAACCAATCATCGACTGCTCTGGGCCTGTGACAAGGAGCATTGTCATCCTGGTGAACAGGTGGATAATTCCTTTCACCAAACATGTTAGTAATAGATGGTAGCAAGCCTGACTCCAAAACATCGATATATTTCTAGTGATTCATGTTTCCATTAACCACTATCAATTCGCCCAAGCCATGGATGCTGATGCAGCCCCATACCATGATGAATATGCTGCTCCGGGTTCGAAAATTCAGTGCATGTGGTTCAAATGCTTTGCCAGCGGTTTGCCAGCATAGTACCCGTCTGTCATCAGAGGTCAGACCAAAGCGACACTCATCAGAAAAAATATATAAGACCAATTGTCATGAACTGTCCAGTTCCAGATCCTGTTGACCCTAGTTTACTCTACGTTGCCTCTTTTGTAACGATATAAGAGGTTTCAGTCTTGCTACCCTGCTGTACACTCTCTGAGCATGTAACCGACGCCTAGCAATTTTTACAGACACATTCTTATGTGTGAAATTGTTCCACTGTGTTGTCAACTGACAAGCAGTGTCGAACTTTGACAACCTGGACATCAAAATCAGTCGTCGGTCTTCACGTCCAGTATTTTTTCTTGGACGACCCATCAGAGGCAATTTGTCTCTTGATCCAGTGTTTCTATACCGAGACCAGACCCTCTGCACGGTTCTGACTGAACAATTCAATTGTATCGATATTCTGACATTGCTTATATTCCGCCTCTTCAGGTTAATAACTTGCACCTATAACCGTTAGATAATTACCTGTATCTTGCCATACTGGAGGAAGACAGGAATAACATTTGCTGTACATGTACAAGACCAACAATACAATTCCATGGTATAGCGGTTTTATACTCATTAGTCACATTATAAGTAGACCAGGCATTATAAGTACCCAATATCTGCCTACTTTCATTACTCTGAGTTAGGGGGTGACACTTCTTTTGTCCAGTGTGTGTAGCTGTGTGATCAGGACCCGGTTTCACACAAAAAAAGGTTCCCTGGATAAGAACCTTATTGCCAAAGTAACATGGTCACAGAAACACATCTTACCGTATCAGGAGTAGTTTTACAACACACTCATGGAAATCCTAGCCAATTAAGCCAGGAACCTGACCATTCTACCAGGAGGTCAATACAGGAGAAAGACTCTCTAATAAAGAAACACAGTTGGTCTTTGGTATGCAATATTGCTTCTGCAAAGTTAATTTATTAATATCAGTATTTATACATGCCCACGCTAAACCCATCGTTTCTTAGCCGCTCGCTTGCCATGTAATGTGTATTGTAGGTATACTTTTAAATCATGTAAATCTAATACAACATTGATTAATAGTTAATCGCAGGCATCTGATTGGTCACGTCTCACTGGACTCTATTCTTTTTTGAGTCCCCTAAGTCCTGTACACCGTTTGTTGCATATCGCACATGAATGTACATGTTTACAATGTATCATGTTGATTCATTACAACCTCGATTATTATACATATATATATTTGTAGTTGTGTTGCATTTCGGTATATGATATAGCCTTTACTGCTTGTATAGTCCTTTATAATGTGATAAATCATACCTCTTCACTATAATATATTGTCTGCTTAGAGCAAATTATGCAATTTTGAAGATTCAGTTTTGAAACTTTGATACAATTTTGAAACTGTGAATCAACCACTAGTATGGCAGTTGCCATCAATGATGGCGGGCGATTAGAAAAAAAAAATGATACTGCGATGTATGGTGACAGAGAGTCCGTTTCCCATTCATCTGTACAGGTAAGCCTCGTTCTAGATTTTGACCCACTTAGGTCAGGCTAAGTATAACCATTATAACTCATTGGAGGATGGACATTCTGTTACACGGACCCTCAGTTTCGTTAAACCGGTGTGAAAGGAATGTATGTCCCCCAGGAACGAAGGTCCTACGGAAAACATGTCCTATGGTCGCGCGTTCCCTAGGATGTGCTGTCCTACCCGGACCTAGATTCCCAGCTGTATTTACAGTATACGCAGCTAGGACACATGTATTCCTGTCGGACATAATTTCCTTTCACATATACACAGAAACGCAAGTCCTACATAATTAATACCCCTACAATACTTATAAACGCGAGGCCATAAGTATCGGTAATTTTCAGTTGACTGCTTCCACACAGGTTCATGAGTAAACGGCTTGGTACAATAACCAATAGCGAAAAGAAACGTTAGTGAGTTCGAATCCCCAGCAGCGATGTTACTCTCTTTATGCAAATGTTATCCCAATTTATTCCCCTCTTCAACGAACTAAAAGCACTTTATGTTGTTATACAATTTAGATTATTTTGATGAGGTGAAATTTTGAATCATTTAAATGTTTGATATAAATATCATTTTTTTAAAGTTGAGCTATTTTAGATTTCTTTCATAAACTCGAGGTAGACTATACAAGGCCGTGGCCGAATTTTATTGGATAAGTGGACATATAAGAGCCGATGCTTCCTACTTTCACCTGAAAATACAAAGAAATAAAATTTATGTCATCGAGAAGTGTTCAACACGTACTTCTAAGTGTATATATCGCGAGAGGGTGGCAGTGTATTATTTCACACACTCGTATTTCATCGAAAAAAAAAAAAGTAAGACGTGAAGTGTGATGTGTATAAAGGACAAAATACATTGGTTAGAAATGGGCACCAGTCAAACTCTAAATCTGTGTACCCCCAGACAATTGTATGTGGATGGCCGATTAATAACAATTAAAGTCATAATAACTCTTCGTTTTGGCCAAAAATTGGATTTTCCTGGAAAAAAAGGCAATTTTCCCGTACTTACCAATGGTCAACGACCCCAATCCTGCATTCAAAGTTAATCCAGGGTTTTTTCCTAAACGTACGGTTCTTTGTTAAAATCTCTTAAGAGATTTTAACTGACTGAGCTCCCTCTGACATTGCATAGTCACTGGTGACCTACTTAAAACCGCGGGAAAAGCAGACAACAATAACACTATATAACAATAATATAAGATTCATGAGATATATTCGTCTTTTCGTTAAAAATGCATTTATATCCACAATGCGTGCCATTCTGGGATTTTCGCTATGCTATCCGACGCACTGTACAAAAACTCGCAACTTACGTCTGCGTCTGTAAAGCCTCTCTTCTGGTCCTAAAATCAAGTTCGGTCCCTTGGTTCTAAACTGTTTACCAGAGGCTCTGTTTTGGTCCTACACCTGCTAATGTCCATCATGACGTGTTCTAACGTGTTCCCCAAACGTGTCCTTGGCTGACTCTATTATGGTCTCCAATATTTGAGGTTTAAAACTTTGAGAGGCTACCAAAAAACGTACGTAGACTGAATGTTGGAAAGAAATGCATTTCAATTATTTAAATTGTATTATATTTGCTATAATATATTCTCAGATTTTTTAAAGAACACTTATGTTTTGCTGCGTGACTACCTTTAGGATGCCTAATACTTCTGAAATGTTTATGGCGTTCTCTGCTTCTTGTTTTCAAGACAGTTACATTTGTGGGTGATTGTGTGCATGTGTGTGTGTGGAGTGGGGGTGTACTCACTCACTCACTCGTTCTTTATTCCGTTTCAAGTTAGTATAAGCTCTTATTTTCATATGGACGCGTTTATTCCTGTGAATTTCCTAAATGTCCACTGGACTGTCAAGAACTATAGTGATTCAGAGCTTATATAGGCACAGTATAATGGTTTTTTACTACATACGTTTTATAAATCTATTAATACTGCAATTTATGTAAAGAGCTCCCTATGAAGGATAGTCTAGCTACTTTATTCATTCACGCATTTTGTTTCAGAATTTTTTTTTNACAGGAGAAATAAGGCGATAAAATCACCGTGTATGTCCGAATATCTTGCAATTTAAGATGTAATATACTGGTATTACAAGCGTTATACGAGTACGTTTTTTAATTGATAAGCAGAAGATAATTTTACAAATTCTAAGAAAAAAAGATCTTCTTCACATTTCATATTGATGAAGAAACATTGACCTGCAAAAAAAAAATAATAATAATAGTAAAATAAAATAAAATAAAATAAAATAAGATAAAATAAAATAAATAAAATAAAAATGCTAAAGCACAATGTATAAAGCGAAACCTTCAAAATAAACGTCTACTTACATGAAACAGTCGGAAATACCCTGTAGATCAACAAAAGGAACATTGAAATATGCACTTTCGAGTCACATTAGATGCGTTACTCAGAGCTATCGGCTACAATATAAGAAGTCTGTGTGGCAGAGATGATAATTCTTATCAAATATTCCGTGAAAATGGAAATGAAACAATGAACAAATTGTCCACATCCAACCGTAGGTTGTCGTCAAAGTTGAAGGACCTCCACATGTACCTTTTTGAATTACAAAAGTTTAATTTCCTGGTTAATTGATTTAATATGTCATTCGGAAACTCATAAAATAAATATTAAAGCGGAAAAGGCTTTTAAATCCAAAAATGCTATACAATACCGGTAGATACACTGTACAACTAAAACAGTTTAAGGGCGGTGCAAAATAAGAACAGCGTAAAGAGAACAAAAACCCCTGACGGGGGATACATCTTCAATCCGGACGCCTCAGACACAGCGGCCTTTTTCTCGGCAGCGGCTCGAGCCACGGGGATGTTCGGATTTGGTTTTGTTGGATCGAAACTAAACTCCATGCAAGGCTCGGTGTCCGGTACCACGTGATATCCGCCATCCCAAATGGTGTTGCAGAAATCAGCAGCTGATGTGTACATCTCAGTGTATTTCTTACACACCGCGTCCTTTGGGCAAATGTTCACACCTAAAATGAAATATCATGAAATAAAATATCTTAGAAGACAAGGTTTGTTTTTTAATAGGCTAGGGTGACTTGGACAACCATTAGGCCCTATACACAATACAAGAATAATAGCTGGTTTGACAGCGCTACATACAATGTATAAAAGAGAGGGCTAAATTGTACCAGTTCTTCATTTGGATCTTACTTATAATAGAGTCAAACAATTTTAGTAAGAGTGTACCTTTACATTCAGAGTAATTTTAGGTGAAAATGATTTTTATCTGCCTGATGAGTGTCATTTTTTATTTATGAAATGGTACTTTAACAACTGCCTATGGTAAATGAAATCCTATCAAAATGTCTGTCTTGTAAAGAGAAGCTCATGTAGTGACATGACCCACCGCTACAGGTCTGCTGCGCGGGAGTGTATAAATTGGAATGGCACCGCAGATTGGAGGTCATCTAGTGAAAATAACGATTGCCTTGATTATTATGACAAGCTAATTCACGGATATTTAAACATTTTAGCATCTGCCATTTTCAAGTTTAAAGTTCGGCCCGAGAATTGAAAAAATCAATATTTCAAGAAAATGTATCGCAAAAAAATATTTTTCTATTTCTGTTATATTTTTCTGTTGGATTTGGCGGCCGTCTTGTGAAATCATCTATAGTTGCAAACGTTGCACACAGCTTCACTGTTAATATCTTAATCGTCAAAAGGTCTGGAATTTGCAGCATGTGGGAAAGCCAATTTAACAGAAATCACAAACATTTGGTAGTTGGTTACCAATTCGATTTTATCAGATGGCATCAATATCATTACATGTATAAATAGTAAAGAAGTATATAAAGACAAATGTAAAGTGTTTTTGTGCCGAAATAGAAGCACGAGGCAAATTTATATTTGGTCTTCAGCCTGGACTATAAATGGTCTATTTATATTTACAATTTCAACCAGATCGGTCTTTGCTGATGATATAGTGATGCGTTTTCTACCTATTACAAAGCGTACGTGTCACGTTGGCACCACGTGACTGCATACACATGCCGCGATGCTGCCACTGGGCTTCAGCGTAGCAATTGGTTTGGAAATGACGTCACTCACCGTTAGCGTCCCAGGCAGGGTCGGTTAACCAGTTTCTGTGACACGTGTATTCCTCCTTGCAAGCGTTCCACCATTTGTCACACTGGCTGGCGCACAATGGGAGATGCTTCAAACGGTGATTAAACGGGCTTTCGGTCTGAAATGGTCATTTTTAAAAGACAATCTAGCAATAAGTAATGTGGGCAGACAATTGGATGCGTGCATGTGTGTTCGTATGTGTGTCAATTAGAGAGAGAGAGGGAGAGGGAGAGAGAGAGAGAGAGAACATCTATGCGTATGTGAAAATAGAAAAAAAATAGTGTAATGGATACATGGATCATGTAGATAAAAATACACAGCTTTTGTGTGTCTGTGTACTTGTATTTGACCTACCCCTTTCACAATCCAAGGGCCGGAGTTTGGCGAACAAGCAAAGAAGCATACTTCGTCGTGGTTCAATCTTTCACACTCCGGTGACAGACGCGGTTTCTGTGGACAGTGACCATAATCCGTCATGTTCATCCACTGGTGGTCTTCTAGGAAACTCGTGGTCATATTTGGCCTGCAGCAAGAACTGTCTCGGTAACGAGTGCACTGCAACAATATGCAGATGCAATATAAATACATACACAATAAATACATTGTAAACAATTAATAGAAATATATACAGGGTTGCTACTTAATATGGAATATTTTTTATAATTGTTATTTTTGAGTGCTGATTTAATTTTTTTGGCTTGAGTCATTAAAAAAGTATACCACTGAGTAATAAAAACATCCAGACTTCTGTTGTGAGATAATTTGGTCAATGATATCAAAACTGACATAAGATGCCATTTAAAAGAAAGGGACACCCCCAGAAAACCATATCAACAGTTTGATGTCAGTATTAACTTTAAGCTAAGATATTAAAGAAAATGATAGCCTCCGGGCAGTGATGTGTTACACAGTCAAAGAACTCACTACATTAAATCATGAAAAGTCAATAATTGTGGGTATGACCTCCAGCAGCCGCTTGCAGTGCCCTCATCCTACATGGCATACCCTGTAACACGTTTTTTAGAGTTTGGATGGGGATATCATTCCACGCAGTGATATTTGCCTGTCGCAGTTCATCACTATTTACCGGCCGATGACCATAGCTATTAATTCTGTGAGTTACTTTTGCCCAAGGTTAATCAATTGGGTTCATATCTGGAGAGTTTGCTGGCCAGGGCAGTTGCTGAACCCATTGGTTTCGAAGAAAAACAGTGATTCTGCGGCCTCGATGTGGGGTTGCGCAGTCGTCTTGGTACACAAAGTTGTTCCTGAAGATGGCTCTCACCAATCGAAGCATCGTTTGCTGTAGAATGTCTCTGTAGGAATCCTGGCTGAGGTTGCCTCTTAGAAAAACCAACTGGTTCTGGGCACCGACATGAAATCCTCCCCAAATAGAGACGTTACAATCCCCTGCTTGCACCCTAGGCAGTACACAATCATCGTTTTATGCCCGTCGTACACGTCGGTGGACATGGATTCGACCATCAACCCTAAAAAATCCATATCTGACCTCATCACTGAAATCGACGTGATTCTAGTGTTTTGGCTGCAAACGCGCGTGGTCCCCAGCCCATTGCAGACGTCGCTGTATATGGCCTGCTGTTAACAGTGGTTTCCCTACTGGCCTTCGTGCAAAATAACCGGCTTGCAGTAATCTCTTGTTCACGATTGACCTTGAAACGGGCGTTTGAATGACATTCTGCCTCTCTTTTCTGAGGACACTGGTTGTCTTTGTACGACAAGCACGGCGTCCTCTAAGGAGAAGGCGATCCTGTCTTCTTGGTGTGATACGCGGACACCCTGGTCGAGGTATTGGAGTAGGTGCCCCTGTTGCATCATTTCTTTGGATGACTTTACAAACGGTTCCTGATAAATGTTGAATTACCTGGCAATGGCTGTCCGTTTCTGGACATTTTCTCTGAGAGCAAGAGTCCCATAGTAAGCTGCGTTGCTTAGCTGTCGAACCATGTCTTCAATAAGGTACCTGTCAAGTTTCAGAGCTATCCCTTTGTTGCTTTTCTAAACACACTCCAAAGATTGACCAAACCCATGCGTTTTTATACAAGGGCAGAAATTGCCGAAAAGACCACCCCTCACATTTCTGACCACTGAACATGCAACTGCATGTATCAATTGTTTCGAGAGTTGTGTGGTAATAAGGTAACATACCTGGCTACACATGGAGTGACATATCACCTTTGGATTTAAAGTAGTTAGAGAGAAAATAAATATTTTGTAGAAAATTTACTCGCCAAAAAATAATATTCCATATTAAGTGGTAACCCTGTATATATATATATATATATATATATATATATATATATTAGCAAGAAAATAATAAAATACGAGTAAAATCCTGTGAAACGTTTGTTATGTGCAGAGAAGAATGAACGTTAGGTGTAACTTATGTTATGTTTATCTTGAGCCCCCCGCGAAAACATTTTAATTTACAGAAAATTTTACATTTTAGTTTAACCCATTTAAATTAAATTAAAATAAGAGATCTGTTTATCTCCACTCTGGTGTTGGACGTATCTTTTTTTTTTTACATCAGTCTATATTTCGTGTCATAAGGAATGAGAACATGAAACAAGATTTCAACTCCAAGATATACCAGGGTATACGAAAGGGTCTAGCCAAAGTAACCAAATGACGAAATGCCTGTTAATTTTTAGAAAAAAAAAAAAAAAAAAAAAACATCACTGTCATATTTTCCGGCCTTAATCAGCTAGTTACATGGAAACCATAATTCCCAGTGTCTATGCATTCCAAGAACCCCATAAGAATTTACAAAAATAGAAATTTTGGAATTTGCACATTCTGCTTGAACAGTACGAATGTTTTCAAGAATCATCTACAATTTAAAACTAATGGCTTAGGAATATTTACATTCCCCAACCTTTGAGGCACTCTCGAAATAAATACAGTAGCGATTACGACTTCCACTCATAACAGTATAAAATAAATATAACTATAAAAATGCCAAAAATCACTCACTGGTCTGACACGTTCCATTCGCCAAGGGGTAAGCTGTCAAAGGACAGAGGCACACCTGGTTGGAGCCGGTGAAGATCGAGAACAGCGGGTTTCGTGTGCACAGCGTATTGTCCCCACAAGCCAGTGGCGGGAAAATAGCGGCCGATGAACAAGCACTGAAGAGACTTGTGCTGTTATCGCTTGTATAACCTGGAAATATAATGATGTACCTTTATCTGCAGTAATTATAACGGCATTCAATTATATGCACAGTAGGTACTTCGAAATATAAACGTAACTGGGAATTGCGATGTTCTTTATATTTGGTTTTAAAAAATCGGTTTATTTCACCCAAACCACGAACATTTTTAAACCGGATAATGGATTTGCGATTGTCGTTATTAACATCTGAAACATGCTGCATGAGATATGCTCAGACCAAAGTCAACATCATGAGCTGTAACCCCAAAAAGAAATAACACTCTTAAAAACAGGCTCTGGTCACTGTAGAAAAACAGCTTTCAGTCTCGTCATTACCAGACACAATTTGAGTATCAGATTTTTTCATTTTCTGTATCGTGGTGCTTATGAGTAATGATGGTGAAAGCGAATAGCGTGTGGGTATTCCACTGATCTTACCAGCAATAGGAGGTATAGTGACAGCCATGGCCATTGTTGATCTGTAAAAAAAAAAAAAAAAACGAAAAAAAATTACGCTGCATATAAACAATACAAACATTCAACAATAAAACGAAAACGATGACAATTTTAGTGTTATCATTATCTTTCAAAAACCCGGTGTGTTTTTAACTGTACTTGTACCGTGATGTATTGTCAAAAAATCTTCCACTTACTTGTTAGCAGCCCTGCTGGCGAGTATATCCCTTTGTTTTGTTTGCTTCCTGAAGTCGTTTTTCCAGAGACACGCTAGCTTAAATACCGTAGAAGACGACTTAGCCGGTAAGCTTTTTTCATCTGATAGCATACGTCGCGTACTGTGCAAGTTTATCAATTGTAAATCTGAGGTTTTGACTACGTTAATTGTAGTGGAGAAAACCCTTTAATCCTCGTCTGCCAAGTGCATCCTCTACAGTTATCACAATTCAGTCTGCATATACCAGTAATAAAAAATCCTTTTCGTTTCCGACAATAACCCTTGACCGTGGTAATGTTAGTAATAAACTGTAAACGATTCGTCTGACCAATTCGTGACTAGCATTTTCTGTCTTTTGTATTCTAATCAGAACATTACATCTGCCTAATATTAGGAGGAAATCGTGATAATCCCTGTGTCAATAAAAAATAACATACATATAATTTTAAAATGAGTGCCTTTTTCTCCTTTTATCAAAATCATAATAAATATATGTAAATAGATAAATAAACGGCGAACTGATCTAAGAAAAGCACGGCAAATTTCTTTAACTTTGGTGCACATTTTGCTCCCCTTCAAAAGTGTTCTTTACGAGTTTCATTTTGGTCATAAACGAAAAGTATCGACGTTCTTCGGTATATTTATCCCAACTGCCGAACTCGAATACAGTTTTCCTTGTTTTTATTTAATTTTATTTGTTTTAAGACGGGTCCTGAGATATTCCACGTGGATCCGCAAACTTATGTAAACTATTCGCACGGTTCCCGACTAAAGATACGTGCAATTTACCGAAAAATGTTTTTTATCCATTATCGCAGATTCATTTTTAAGTAAAGATGGAAATGGATGTTGGTTATTTCATTGATTCTGGTTTCTAATTTGCACGGTTATAATAATTTCCGACAAAAAAGATCAGCGAAATTACTTCTAAAACGTCGACGTTAACCAGTGACCCACGGCGGACGCGGTGTATCCATAGTAACAGCGCTATTTATTTCAATGGATCCATTTATCTGCGAACATTTTATGAATCAGGTTGCTAATTGAATAAAACAAAGAAAACTGTGCATTGTGTATTATATCCACTTCCTGATCAATAAATGAATAAACATTGTATTTTTGACAGATGCGTAACGTATATATATAGCGCCATTCTGAATGCAGGCACATCAGAGGCTATACATTTGTGTGTGACTTAAAACTTATGTGATTTAATATCCACAGGTTGCTTCTGTGGTAACTATCAACATTGAAGGAGAGGAAGTGTGTGCTGGTTTTCTATGTCAAAAATAGCTTGGCTCAATCCCAATCTAAAACTTCTCCCTCTCACGACCCCTCTCTGTCTCTCTGTCTCTCTCTCTCTATTCTATTCTATTCTAATTAGGTTATTGTAACATCTGTGTACAAACTAAAATTATTATATTCTGCCTTATTGTGTCTTTCATTTTTGAATATTTTGGGAAGCAACATACCTAAGACATTCATAGAACAATTACATAAGATGTGTACGTCATAAGTACTCTTAGATTTTTCATGAAGATACACTGTAATATTCCACATCATCCCCCTTAAGCCTACATGTAGGTCCCAACCGAACGTACGGACTGTTACGTGTGGTCTACGGCCAAAAAAGTGGGGGAAAACGTGGGAGTTCGTGAGTGAGAAGCACGTCCATCGTGCGACTTTTGGAGGACGCAAACAGCTCGAAGTAAATTTTTGACATGATCAACAGCCGCTACGTGCAATCTAGCTAAGTCTTAGCCGAACGCAAGGAATCTAAAAAACCGTGCGTCCAAAACACAGTTGGGACCTAGGCTTTAGTCATCCTCAGAAAGCAAGGAACGCCTAGCCACCGTTTTTATTTCCGCCACGCCTCCATCACGCTTCACGCTTTGTATACTCGTATACACGAATTTCCACAAGATAAAATCTCAATCATGCCGGTAACTACACTATGCCCTCCTTCCTCGAAGAAAAGTGCAAACAGAACGGGGCACCCGGGATCGTATTGAAAAACACAGTGAGAAGAGCAGTGCCATCAGCCTTTTGCTTTTCTCCATCATATATATATGTAAAGTGTTTTTTTCCTGTACGAGTATATATTATATATATAATTAAAAGAAAAAAAAGAACAGCGTCTATTTTGTCCCGACCGGTTTCATTCTTTCTTCAGGGGTTTTTGTTTATTTGTTACTAGGTGATGTCATAAAGGCTAAAATGTGATGTCTGTAACAATGGGTGTTTAAATGTTGCTTTTACCAATGCTATTATCTATTCAATGTAGGTTTATACTTATTAATGAATAGATTTTCTTTCATTTCCCTTTCTGTTTGGGTTGCCAAACTAACTAATATATATATATATATATATATATATATATATATATATATATATATATATATATATATATATATTATTATTATTATTAATACTCTGCATGCGTTGTAATATTTAATCTTACCATGTGGACATCCATATAGTTTATTTTGGCCAAAAATGAGTCTTCCTGGGGTAAACAACAATTTTCCCATTCTTACCAATGGTTAATGAATCCATTTCTACAGGGGGTACATTCAAATTTAGTCTGTTTTTTTTTTTTTTTTTTTTTTTTTTTTTTCAGAAAGTTTGCTTTAATCTCTTAAGAGATTATTACAAACTATAGCCGTCTATGGAGGTCACATGGTCGGATGACAAGCACAGATTTTAGAATAATTGCCTCAACTGCCATTTTTGGTGGTGAAATAGAATATATAATATTTTCTTGAGTTTTTTACAATGTTTCTATTGTGAAATATAGATTTCATACGAAAAGTTGTTACCCCTTTAACCAGCCTCAAACTGCTGCATGTATTACAGTATCAGCAGTTGATTGATTCAGACATTACCTTACAGTGTCAATATTCCGAATATCGAAAAAACGAGACTAAGTAATGTTGTTTACCTAAATAATAATAATAATAATAATAATAATAATAATAATAATAAAAATAATAATAACCTTGGCATTCAGCGTTTTTAATGCCTCCCTCTTCCTGATCTAATTATTTTATCTAAAAATAAATGAGAACGTGACTTCCTATCAAGAAACTATCGTGTAAAACCCGCATTCCTTCCCCAAGTATTACATTGTTTCATAAAAATAAGATGTGATATGTAATACTTTGATAATTGAGAGGCATCGTTTCTTGGCAATAAAATCATCGACTTTACACCATTGGGCTTTTTCGGTACTTGTAGGTCGTTATTCTATTTCATATACCATGATCATAAGTTAGGTAACAACCATAAGGCAATAAGAGCAATTACAATTGGCCTCTTGGAAGTCTCACGTCAGAAAGAGTCTTTTAAAGCTCCTCTTCCTCCTCAAATTTTACTTCGTTATATCCTTCGTCTGAGCGTTGTCTTTCTTCCTGATAATATTCCCCAGCATCAAGCTTCCTTTGCAATCTCGGAGGCAATTTCTCGTAAAATTGTGTTCCTAGAGCATAAAGTATAACGCATTACATAGTATGAATACGGGTCGTAGGTAAAATTAATATAAAATCATATTCTCACTTTTGAAACAATAATAATAATTCATAATTTGTTAAAAGAAAACGATTTTCTTCACTAAATAGAGTTAGTGCTTTAAAATTAATATTAACTCCTCTGAAACCAAACAGAGAAAGAAAACAAGAAACGGTTCAACATATACAATATCGAACATACATATGAAAGGAAAGTGGTCAGAATAAAGTCACAAATACAGTCAACATCGATCGCTTTTCACACACACATACATGTATACACAATCATAATGTCTTTTGTTCAATACCTTTAATGCCCATTGGAAGAAACTTGCCAGCATCTTTAACTTTCCCATAATGTTCATAATGTGATATCAATTTTTCCAACGTGGGGTTGCATCTAAGCAGTTTCTTATTCCCTGAAGTTAAAATCAGTCGCGAGGTCACGCGAATTCACATCATCACGCTAAATGAACCTATATGCTTATGTCTTCACTGGAAGCGTTTTATATGCAACTACATGTAGCCTCTAAGTTTGTTACAGTAAACTTTGCCGGTAGATTTATTCTGCATTGCGTTCATTGCTAAACAATGGAACTCTATTTTGGTTAAAGGTATATGGGCTTTGTTATTACCAATGATAATCAGGAACCTTCTTGAGCGAGTTAGTGCCACGTTAATCTGGTTGTCATCTGTTATAAAGCCAAGGTTGACCTTACACCAGCCCTTGGTCGGCCTTTCAACAATCTGGTACTCAGGGATGGAGCGGACAGTGCTGAAGATGACGATGTCCCATTCTCCACCTGGTGGGATGAAAAAAATATGAAAGCATTGTACATGAATTAAGGGATTTCAAAAAGCCGTCAGCTAATGCTACGGAGGATGCACACTGCTTTTAACAGCGCACTGATACCTAGGACTGGGTTCCCATGCCTATAACAGGATCGATTCGGGGTTCCTCGCTAAATTGCTTTCAGCTTAAGCGGCTTCGATGTCTGACACGCCTACTGAAGCTGCTAAACGATAATTAACAACCCCCTAGGAGCTTCAGCCGCTCAAATTGATTACAATTAAGCAAAAAACCCCTCGAAAATAAATCGTGTCACAAATAGTACGATAGGGTCTGGGAATGGTCCCTAATATGAGTGAAGGGGTGCTTGTTCCAGATTCAGTGACATTGATTATTAACAAAAAACAAAAAACAAAAACAAAAAAAAAAAAAAAAAGAAATCCGAGCTCTGAAACCTAATTAGTAAGGATGATCGCAAATGAAAAATCATCAACACATATTGTACATGAATCTAGAAGTCTTCAGAAACTGCAGGATCACATCAGCAGCCATATAATTTTGATTAAAAACTTTAACATACTCACTGCCATTAAAAGCGCACTGATGTCTTATATTAGTCTGGTGGAGTGCTAGTTATGGTGTCAATACCAGTGTGACAGGTCGGGTAATCCGCTAGGGAGAGTAATAACTCT